GCCACTTCCACGAGGGCATGAGGGCGTGCGCGTCCGAACGGACGATGGGCAGTACTGAATGGTTCGACGTGGGCCAAGGCCTCCGGCAGGGATGCAACCTGGCCCCGCTGCTGTTCAACTTGTTCTTTGCCGCGATGCTCATGGTTACCGTGGCCGAGTTCGACAAGGACCCCAAGGTGACGGCGGACATGGTCAAGATCGGGACACAAGTGGAGCACACTGGCAAGAAGGGCAGGTCGGCGGGGAAGAAGACGACGGTGGTGACGGACGTGGAGGCCTTGTGGGCCATGCTCTACGCTGAAGACGTGGCCATCGTATCGCGCTCGCCTGAGTCTCGAGAAGATGATGTCGATCATCGTGCGCGTGGCCGGCCTGTTCGGACAAAGCGGCGGTGGGGGGGAAGAAACGGCGACCGGGCACTGCTGTAGAAGCTAGTAGGGCGGCCGAGGCAGCACTTGTGGCGAACATTTTTTTTTTTTTGTCTCCCATCATTGGATTCTGTCGTCTGCCCCTCTGGCCCTATCCTCCACTTCTACCAGCTAGACGACCCAACCGGGGTCACATGGGAGAGGGGGGTTGGACCCCCTCCTGCGGTTCCTGCCTGAGATATTTTTATCGCGAGAAGGGCACAGCAATACCTTACCTCGCGACTTACGAAGTCGATCAAGTCTACTAACAACGAGCTTTGCAGCGCGTCGCTTCTAACGAGACCAGGATTTAATTAGCGAGAAAAAACTCACTCTGTCGGGACTAGAACCCATGACCTGGCCCTCAGCGGGCTGCGAGGCTACCCACTAGACCACCCGGGCGACCGGTCGAACTATGTACCCGGCTGATGTTATTGCGCCCTGTTTCCCTCCCTGCTGTGTGCTATACTCCTTTGTGTATGTCCTTTGTATTGCCTTCGGCCTCTGTGCTGTGTTTCTTTATTCTCATGTCCTCCTTGCCTACTCTGCCGTGTTGGGTACCTTGATCTCCCGTTTACTGTTGCTTTTGTTTTTATACATCTGGCTGTCTGCCCATCTGCCGCGTCTTTGTTCTGTTGGCCCCGTTGCTCCCATGCCCTGGTGCGTAATGCCTGGTGCTGGTACGTTACCCTATGATTTTTTAGGCGGGTGTGGGAAGCGTCATCATATATTTTTGTCTTTGTTTTATTTTGATCGGTTTCCGAGGGCTGTTTTCTCGACCGGTCGGTGCGGTAGCTGTTCCTTTCTATGATTTTGGTTTCTTTTTCCGAGTGGTTTGTACCCTATTTTTGTTTTTGTTTCCCCGCGGCGTCGTATGTGCCGGGTTTTGAGACCACGGGCTCCCCATTTTTGTGGACTATAGAGCTGTTGTGAGAAACAACAGCAACAGCAACAACAACAACAACAACAACAAATTATCTAATCTGGAATCCCACATGCAGATTATCCGGGGATAAAAATTTACGATCCAAAAAACTCTCTTTTTGATTGGGAAATAAAGCTCTTCCGCCGGTCCACATTACATTGTAGGACTAAAAGACAGACTCACCCAACCGACTTGGGAAAAAGGGGAAATCCGGACTTGGGGTGAATCGGAACCAAGGTTGGCAATTAGCGCTCTACAGTGATCATCGGGGTCTTGGCACATATCGGGGTCTCGGCGCATATCGGGGTCTTGGCGCAGGGTATGCGGAAAAGAAGCGGGTTCCGAATGATTTGCTAGATTATCGCACAGGTATCGTCGTCTCCACACACTGTGCGGAGACGCCGATACGTGCGGTGAGGTTTGGCGGGAAGTGATACCCTTTCACCAGCATCTTGTGCTGGAAATTCCGGATACTGTGGGAGCTTGAATCGCGTGCTCCACTGCTACTGCTGCCCTTGGCACCATGACGATGTTCAATAATGTGGTATTTGTACTCTTTGTTCTCTTCTTTTCGTTCTGAAGAATCAAGATCGGCAAATCGGCAAACGGCATCCACTCCATAATTCTAAACGCAGATGAAACCAAAAACGAAGAAAATAATAACAACAAACTACCACTACGAGCTACCAACGTCCTACTACTGTCCTTCCCAGGCGGGTTAAACTCTACTTCGTGCCCGCGCCCCTACCATCGCAAAAACATCCAATCTCCATGGCAAGCTCAAAGAACTATGATTCAAAGTTCGACTACTTCTCCTTCGGCGCCCCCGCCCCCCTGCCCCTCCACGACTTCCACGTCGCTGTCGCCCTCCAAGACCTCCACCTCGCTGTCGCTCTCATCAGCGACTCAGGGCAGCTTCCCCTCGACCTCCTTCTGAGCAGCCGTGATGGGGTTGGAGTCGAACCCCCCTGGTACCTTCGGCAGCTTGAGCGACGGGAGAGTCACGACGGGGTACTCAGCGAGTCATACGGCGTACTGCTCCTCGAGAAGGTCGCGGTAGTCTTCCCCGAAGTTGTGCTCGCACCAGGCGTGGTCTTCGCTGCCGTCGAGCGCGAGCGTGAGACCGCAGATCTTGAAGCAAGTCTTCACCGTCTCGNGGACGGAGCACGCCGGGTTCTCACCGGACCAGGCTCTCACATCACCAAGCGCGAAGCGCTGTGAGATACTCGGCGAGTCGCATGAAGGGTGCGCTGCATCCTGCTAAGGGTGTTCGGCATCTTGTGCTTACTTCCTTGCGTACGGATGACACCGTCTCGGGGGTGATAGACTCCCACGCTTCCTTGCACCACGTAGAGACGACCCCACGCTCCGGTGGCTTCAGCTTCCCCGACCGGGCGTCCGCGACCGCCGACGCGCTGTAGGCGGTGTACTTACCCCGCAGCAGCCGCTTCATCTGCTTGTTGAGCATGCGGTCGAGCGGTTGGAGCAAGGGCGTCAACCCGCCTGGGATGACGATGACGATGGTGTTGGCGTCTCTCTTGAGGGCGGCGATGTAACCCTCGTCCTTGTGGCACTTGAAGTCGTCCAGCACCAGGATGCACGGGCGCTGCTGGACGATGCTGCCGTTGTTGGGACGGAGCTTCCAACTGCCCGAGATCCACCCGTTGCACTCCCGCTGGTCACTCCAGCTCTTCTCCTGCACGCCGAAGGACATGCCGTTGGCAGGGTGGTCGTGCTTGGCGCGGTTCGCAGGATGGATCTCCCACGCGACGGAGTTCTTCCGCGGCAGGGTGCTCTTGCCCTTGCCACTCACGGCCGGGGGGATGAACGGCGTACCCTTGAAGATGATGCGCGGCGAAACCTTTTTGCCGTCCGCCATGACAGCCAGAACGAGCGTGAAGCGTTCCTTCTCTTTGCCTGAGGGGAGGGGGGAAAAATCAACGCGAGGGGAGGGGGGGGAGGGAGTAGGTGTTGAATATCTCTGCGAGGACAGTGGTGTGTGGTTGATGCAATGGATGCAAACGGTACCGGACGTTTCGAAAACTAAGTTGGTTGATAGTTTGGATGCAATGAAAAAGGAAGTGTAGAATAATCCCACAGAAAAAGGTAGCAACCCTCCTGTGTCTACCGATAGAGCTACATCGCACCGTGTACCGGCACGCAAAAAAAACATGTGTCTTAAAAATTGTCCAATGACAAAAAATCCGCACACCACACAAAATTTTGACAAAAATATTAGCTCGCCCTCACCTCCTGTGCTGATGCGAGCATCCTTCGCACCGGTCTTCTCCAGAGTGGTCTCCACCGGCATCTCGTGCTGGACTGGCGTCTGGTCCATGTTGCCGAGTTCCTTGAAAACCTCCGCCTCCACAGACGCCAGCTGCTCGAAAGTCAGATCCTCTCCTTTGATGGGGCTCTCGTCAGGTGCCGGCGGGTGGCGCCGAGCGTAGATCTCACCGGCGCGCCTTACGAGAGCCTCGCGCAGCTTCATCACCGTCGCCCACGCCATACCCTCGTACCCCTTCGGCAGTTTTTGGCCCACGCTGGTACGCCGGCGGATGCTGAACCCATTCCGCTTGCGGAACCGTTGGTACCAGGAGTTGATCTTGACCTTGAAAGCCAGCGCCTCCGTCGGTTTCGCGTTCGCCGACATGCCGCCAAGGGCGTTAGGCTTCAACTCGAGCAGCTTGTTCATCACCTCCCGATTACCACAACCGTGGTGCTGCTTGCGCTGCTCGTCAATGTAGTCCACAAGGGCTTGCTCGGCGTCGACTGTCGAAGCTTTCCCTCCGCTGTGAACCTGCTTGGCCTTCGAAAGCTTGGGATTGGCGCTAACCTTCTCCCTGAGCTGCTCCACCTGCTCCAGCCACTCGATGATACGCTTCCGAGGCACCTGGAGAAGTTTCGCCGCGCCGTTGTTTCCCACCGGTTGACCGTCGCACGGGCAGATCTCCCGTGTGTAGGCCGCCGCGTTCAGTTTGAACCGGATGGGGTAGCTCCCTTTCCCTCCGACTGCTCCTGACCGCTCGATCGGGAAGTTGAGATCCGGGTACGCGCGTTTGCCGTTGCTGTGTTGACGGGATCGTTGGCGGCTAGCATTTCATCGATAGCCTCGCCGGTTGCCTTCGGGTCCGCAGCGGCAGCTCCCTGATCCGCAGAGGAAGGACCGCCAGCACTAGCCTGTGAGGCCTGTGAGGCCTGTGAGGCGTCGGCAGGTCCCGCGCTTGCACCCTCCGACATCGTAGCCGCGTGTTGCGTGTGGTCGAGCCCGCAGCTCCGTCCCGGGCATTTTCCCGATTTTCCGCCGGTATTTCTCCGCCACGGAACTGTTGTGGTGGCAATTCCCCGAGACTCGTTTGTTGGTGTAGCTACTAGCTTGTCTGTTGGTTGTGTTGTGATCGTGTTGCAGCAATACCGTACACGCGAAGCGCTGCTATCACCTGTGGTTTTCAATGTTAGGATCGCACATATCGGGATCTTGGCACAGGGGTGTGCGTTCGAAAGTTGCCGTACCAGCCGCTTTGGATTTAAACAGCACCGCACATATCGGGGTCTTGGCACAGAGATGTGCGTTGTTTCTTAGAACCAAAATATTAACCGCATTTCCGCACAGGTACCGCGAACTTGGCACATATCGGGGTCTTCGCACACCTGTGCGAAAAAAGTCTGAAGTTCGAAACATTTATAAAGCGACCGCACAGTGTGCCAAGACCCCGGTGATTACGGTACTCCCGGAGGCAACTCTTTGTCAACTATTTATATTTGTCCTGACAACTATATTGAACATTTTGCGCTTGAAAGTGAGGGGGCGGGGGATCGGAGGGAGCCCAGCCTGATGTCATTGGATGGAAGATTAAGATTGGTTCCGGAAACGTGCATCCTCGAATCAATAGTGCGTGCATGTATCTGAGCCACCGTCATCGAGACGTAAATGAACAAGATGAGTCAATCGAAGCGACAAGAAAAAAGTATCTGCAAAGATCAAACATCCACCCACGACCTCTCGGCAGCCAGCTCGTTCTTGCGGCCGGCCTGACCGCCATCAAGCGCAACCGCGCCACCCTTCTCCATGCTACTGCCCCAAGCTTTTAATCCGACGCCTCCTCATCGGTGAGGTCCACCGGCGCGAAAACGCCGTCGAGCTGCTCCAGCCTCTCGACGGGGTTCGCCAACCGCCCGGGGATCTTCGTTCGTGCAGCAGCCTCGGTCAGCTTGGTGATGTCCTCGGGGATGAGGTCCAGGTTCCCGTGCAGGAACATAATCATCTCCACATACTTGCTGTCCATGGTGCTCCTGGAGGAAGTCATCATTCGCCCAGCATTGCTGAAATCACGCTCGAGCACTGCCGCCGATGCAGGAGCCCCGAAAACCACGCGTGCAACCCTAGCCAGAAGCGGGTAGGCGTGGGCCCACATCTTCCACCACTTGAGCACATCCTCGCAACTCAACCCAGGCGCGAGACTGCCGCCCTGGACAGCCCTCAGGTTGGTGAGTTCGGCTCGAGCAGTCTGTTCGAAAGACGGCGGCTCCTCGTTCTGCTCGTCACCCCCTGGCCCAAACAGGCCGAGGCTGGCATACATGTTTGTAGTCGCCTCCTCCCTCTTGTTGACGGGGGCCTTGAACAGGGGGTGCACGCTCCCGGGAGCAGCCGCTTGACGAGCACGTTTGGCAGCGGGCTCATCGGCAGCAGCAGACCCGGCAGGCGTCGTTGATACATCCCCCGTGTGGAGTGCCGCTGCCTTCGCCAGCTTCACAGCCAAGAAGATGACCTTGTCGGTGATGGTCGATTTGACAGCAGCAGCGAACGCTGACGTTGACGCGAGCTTGTCCACGTACCGCAGGTCAGCCGTGGTCGGGTGCAAGGCCATCTGCATGTCGACACGTAGTCCGTGTCTTGGCTCTCGGCACTCTTGTAGCGCTTGTCGAACCACCACCAGTCAACGGACTCGCATATGTGCTGGCGAGTACCCTTGGCCACGCCAGTCGACAAGCTGTGCTCGCGGGGAGTGCTGGTGGCCGGTCGCTCCCCGCCACCAATGCCGCTTGTCTCAGCCTGAGCCAGCTTGCGCGCCGGGGTCAAAATCTCGAGCGGGGAGTCGACGTTGAGCGTAATGAGCTTGAGCGCCGCCAGGGCAAGCACCGCAACTTGCCCGGTAGGGACAGACGTCTGCTGGCACTTGACGATGACTTGCGCGGCCGGCTTGATGATGGAGTACAACTCGTCGATCTCTTCCGTCAGGGACGTGAGCGGACTGTCCTTGCCTTCCGCCGTGTACACGCCGTCTATGGCTGCACGGTTGACGATGACCGCCTCCAAGACGTTTGTCACCCCTGACCACCGCTGGGGTGCGGCGTTGACCAGCTTGCGGTGGTAGCACTGCGCGTACTGCTGGACCTGCTCCTCCTCGAAGATGGCCTGTTTTGTGGGGGGCGGGCGGGGGGGGGTGCGAGGGTGGCGTGTTTCGACACGTGAGGAATTCTGAATACGTGATTCGCGGGGTGGTGCTCGCACGACAATTCAAACATCATGAGAAAAGACGCGAGTAATTCGCAGATAACTCTCTTGTGAAAACAAGCATTGACACCTACTGGTACGTGAACCACTCGTAATCGTTGGTAGCGCTACATCACCACAGCCAATCACCACGGCAAAACTGACCTTCGCTCTGGGAGATTTGCGGATGTGCTCCACAACCTTTTTCACCGTCGTGATCACTTTGCGTGCACCGGGGTTTCCCGACTTGGCCGGATCCACGTGCGTCCCGAACGCCTGTCATCCAGGACGTGAGCGAGCGGGATCAACCAATCTCAATATAATTACTTGTATTTGTCGCGCAAAGGACAGGGAGCACCAAGAACGATGTCTCGTCCTGCACCCCAACAAGCGCGTCTACGCATTCGTGCCTCTCGCTCGTTTCTTACGCGGTACTACATAGTACTGCTGCTACCGCACGTCTCCTTTCAAAACTCAACTGAGGAAGCAGTGGTAGCTCACGGCGATTTATTGCAGCACACTTTTCGCCTTTCACCAAAAACGACGACCGAAAACCCAGGACTTGTGTAGAACGCATACATCGCCAAAACTGAGTACGGCGAAAAACCACCACCATCGCAACCTCACCTCGACCAACGCGCAGTTGATCATGTGGCACACACACCACTCCCACAGCCCCGGCAGCAGTACGTCGCACAGTCGCTTCACGTCGCTGCCGGCGTCGCTTGTCGCAGAGAAGAGAAGTGACACGTCGAGGCCGTACTCCTCAAGCACGCTCTCGAGGTACTTCTGCAGAAGAGCCGAGAGGCGATTGTCCTCGAGTAGCTCCTTGGTGGGGTTGAACTGTCGAACTGCGATGAGGCGAGACCTCAGCACCCAGGTCCGGTCGGCGTAGAACAGCCGAATACCTGGAGAGACCAAGAACGAGCGCGAATCAACGACGAGAGGAAACAAAAGTTGAGAATTAGTATTGGCGCGAATGGCACATGTCGATGTTCACAATCGTTGTCGAGCAGCAAACCTCGCTTTTCGTCTTTTCGAAGCGACAAAACCAAAACAAGTGGCGTGCACGGAGAGATGGCACCTCAGCTACAAGAACAAGCGCTCAGCTGCTGGTCACGCGTTTTATCTCACCGATGTACTTCAAGCTCGAGAACTTGTCCACCCATAGGTCGAGGTTGTGGTGCAGAAGCCGCATGCCGCCGATCTAGGCAGCCATCTCCATCTTGAACTGGGAAGCGGTCGCGGCGCACATCTCGACGACCATCTGCTTGACGGCCTTGTTGTGGATGCCAGTGATGGGGAAGTTCTTGAGAGCAGTCAGCTTCAAGCTCGCTCGCACCCACTCCTTCTCGCCATGAGACAACGGGCAGAAACCCTCGATGATGTTGCACTTGACCCAGTTCATGGCCAGAAACCGCGCATGGTCTTGGGGTGTACATGGCAGACGACACGGCCTTCAACACCCGCAAGTCCAGTCGGTTTGGCTTCGCCTTCGCGGCTACAGTCTTCTTGGAAGTCGCTGTGATGGTTCAACACAAAATAAAATGTCGGGAGGGGTTTGTTTTGTGATTTTAATTTCTATACTTTTGTCTTTTGCACAATACAACCGTAATGAAAAAAATCATGTGCGGTGGATTGCGGACGGCATCAAATAAAAGTATATAAAATCGTGTGTGGAATGTGGAATGTACAAATAACATAAAACTCCCAGCATATAGACTATATGTTTATATTTATATGGACAACAGGAGCGTACAGCAAACTAAAAGTAATGAAATCACGTTTCGACGGCAGTGTACATAAAACAATCGAAGTTCGTGTGTGGATTATGGACAACAGTAGCGTACACCAAATACAAATGAAGCGAAACAAACACTAAGCACTCTATTTTCTTGTTCATGTTTGGACATGGATAGCAAACGTACAACAGGTCAAATGAACAAAAATTAAATTTCACGCGCGGACTCGCGAACGACAGCAGCGTACAACCAATGACAACAAAAATCAAGACTGCTTGGGAGCATCACTCGCCTGCGTTGTGCTGAGCCTTGATATGGTCGTTAGCATTTGATGCCGGCTTCTCGCCGATGGCGATGAAGATGCCCTTGGCCACGTTCGCCCGGCAAAATGCACTCCCGAAACATGCGAAAGACCACTTGCCGGAGGTCTTGTGTTTCACCTTGACGCCGTACTTATATATGTTCGAGCTCGATCGGTCGGACTTGGGCACGATCGGTCGGACTTGGGCACGATCTCGTGACTGTCTGGAGGCACGAAGTCCTCGATCGCAGTTGTGACCTGCTCACCTTCCTGTGTTAGTTCAGTACATCGAGAACGGGCGTTTGTAAGAAAAAGAAAATCATGAATGACGCGCGAGGCTGCCGTGTGCTCGGCAAGACAGCGACACGTCTGAGGTCAAGTGCGCTGATCTACGCCGACACTTGCACGACATTTCTCTGTTCGAATGCACGTGCGTGGTGCTCACGTTTCACATTCCTCGAATCGATTCAAACGCACGGGAGAGCGACAGTGGTCACGAAAGACAAGTGTGAACAGCAGGCATGTACCAGTCAAATGCAGGGCGGTGTGTGCGTGGTTGCAAGGGTATCTTTGGCACGGTACCGGTATTTTCGGTAAGGTATTTACATCGTACCGAACGTACCGAACACTTCGGTGAGGTATTGAAGTCCATACCGAACGTACCGAACACTTCGGTAAGGCGTTGAAGTCCATACCGAACGTACCGAACATCCCGGTATGGTATGGCAGTCCATACCGACCGGTACCACACCGGCGATACCGGTATTTGTCCGGTATTTCTCCCGAGCGTCGCCCCAATATTAATATTACACGCAATACTCCCCAATACTTATATGCAATATCAATATTGATAAATGCAATATCAATATTGATATCGCCCATCAAGAATGTGTGTGTGCGCACAACGGTAAGACCAAACAAAGATGGCACGGAGTCAATCCGAATCCGAGACTCGCCCTATTGAAAATGGAAAGCAGGATAGAACAGCAAATTAAAAATAACACGGGTCATCATCTTGAATACGGAGTATAATTTTAATTAACTTCAGTTTTAGTTTAATGATTTGATTTTGGACTTACATTTTTCTCCTATTACGCGCGCGAGTCCAACAAAACAAAACAACAAACCTATTATATTTTAATTTGCATCTAACAAAAACGACGAAGGACTTGAAGTTTCAAGGGTCTGTACGACAGTAAAAATTCAAGAGCGAACTGCCCTGTTGCAAAATCGAAACAATAACGGCGAGCGAAAACTTAGATTTCAAACTGAGTCCAACTGAAGTACAAGT